TAGACCTAAAACTTCAGAGGGAGACACAACAATTGCAGAAATAATTGTAATTTCTCTCAATAAGGAAGAGCCTTACTCAATGAACGATTTAGCTTCAGTTTTGCTGAACCCAAACCAGAAGAAAATAACAAAATGAAATTTTAAGATCAAAATAGAAGGAAAAAAAAGATCTCCAGGCTAAAAAGGGTTAGTTTTAGAAAATTGAAGCCAGAGGTATAAAGCTGATACAAAAGGTATAGTCATGACAAAGAAATATTGACAAGCTAACTTAAGTGGGGAAAAGGGAAAATATTAAATGAGGCATTTTAAAGTACAAACTATCTAACCTTCCCCTAATAAACATACTTAGAGAAAGTAGTATTAAAAAGATTTCAATGTTACCATTATCCATTGTTAGTCTACTGACTTTGTTACGTTAAGCAATATGAGTGCCCCCACAGATTTCCACAGCACTATACTTGCTTCAAATAATTGTTCTAGATCATTGATAACTATGAAGCATATGGAAGTACTTTGAAAATGAAAAGAATTTAGGCACAGTTAAGATAGGACAGATGATACAGATAAAACTGATCGTGGTAGGAAATCAAAAACTAAAGAAGATGCACATAATTCTCTTTACTTTTTTCTTGCATATCTAGACATAAATTAGATTAGATAGTCCCTGCTAAGACTAGCCAAAGCTGAGACGCTGCTCTCCACCACTTTCCCAGGCCAATCTTCCCTTGTGCGTAGCCAAATTCTCTTTCTCTTAACTTCAGATCACTTCTCTAAACCTGTAACTGGATTCCATAGATAGACTCTCTCAGCTTGCAAAAACCTTCTCAAAACTCTAAAGGAAGTCAACTCTCAACTTTAATAAAACTAAAAGATACATTTCAAACTACAAAGACAAATCCTAAAATAATATTGATACAGTAAAAGCTGTCTTATTCCACTGATTGAAATAATTGATGTTCTCCATATTCTAAATACATTTTACGAAGGATTAGAAAGCATAAAACAATCTGAAAAATCCATGGGGCTGAGGTCAAGGTAGAAAGCAGGTTGGTAAAAGCCTTCTACTATGAATTCTACCTTACTGGACTTTTCAATTAACCAACATCTGGTCCTGATTGAATCAGATAAGAAACTTCTTCTTTCTTTCCAACTGTGAAGCATTTTTGTGTAGAGGTGAGAGTGTAATGAGGAGCAGAAAAGCAGCCGTAGCTTTTCTATTCCAGAAGAGCAAAACTCAATGAGTAGTATACTGTGAGCTTAACATGTGCAGCCCCATGTCACAACACCCAGTGCTAATTTAAAATATGGCATAATGGTGAATTATAGTCTATATGTTAGTAATTTTCATACATTATTTCCAAAATTTGTACAACTGACATATGCTACTGTATGATCACGAGTTCCTAAAATGCCAAGCAGCTCCAACACTGCAAGAATATTAAAGGAATAAATGATACTCATTATTTATTGAAAAATAAAACCTGAAAGGCACTAGATTAGGTTTGGACAGGTTCAGTTATTCTTATACTTTTCCAACATTTAAAGAAAACTGAATCTGCTATCTTCTGGTGTGAATCAAGACTGTAGATAAATTAGACATTTCTAGAAATCCTATTAATTTTTTCAGATCATTAAAAATCATCAACTAAGTGAGCAATAACTTAAGGTGATTTGAGAATTGTTCTAATGAAGTCATGAACTCAGAAAAACTTGTTTCATGTTAATAAAAATTCTACTCCACAGTCAATTTTGATCACAACAAGCACATTGTAAATACATGTCACTGGCTACTAGCAAAAAAGAGGGAACAAAATTGACATTACAACCCACATCCACTAACTCAATGGTATGTCAAAAACTTCTCCTACTTCCCTTTGATGGCAATTCGATACCTGAGGGCTTACAATTCAAAAGCACCATATCAGGCTCTAAATTATCTGTCATTCTCACAACAACTTTGTAAGGTAGATGTTACCCTTATTTTACAGATAGGAAAAGTGAGGTTTAGAGAAATGAGATAACTTGACAAATATTATATTGCTACTACGTGGAGAAGCAAGGAATCAAACTCAAACCATATAACTTCTGAACCTGCCCTCGGAGACCATATGTGAAAAAGAACAAACTGACTGGCTAAAAGTGGAATGAGAGTTTCAAAATCGTATTCCAGCTTGACAATTTCATTTGGTAGAAAAATCTAACCTTTATAAAAATGGGTCTTAAATTTCTTTCTAAAAATAAATATTTGTAAGACATCTGGTCTAGTCATTTGAGAAATCAATATCATGGGGGAAAAGAGGGAAGACCATTCTACGACAAAAGAAACTAGAGTCATAACAAGTAAAAGTAACACATGGCCCTTATTTGAGTCCTGGTTAGAACAAAACAACTAAAAATACTTTTGACAAAACTCAGGAAATTTGAATACGGACTGAGTTTTAGATTATATGTGTGAATTATTAATGTTGTTAGATGTTGCTGGTGCTGTGTTATAAAAGGGTTTTTTAGAGAAAAATACTGAAATATTTATAGATTAACTATCATGATTTCTGTAATTTACATTAAAATATTTCAGCAAAACAATCAATTAAGTATCTATAGCAAAATGTTAACAACTGTGAAATCTAGGGAATGGATATATAGTTGTGCATTATTCTACTCTCCTCATTTTGTTGTATGTTTGAATTTTTTTCAAAATAACAAATCAAAAATTTAAAAATTGCTCATATCAAAAACTTCAATGTTTGGGGGCCAGGCCAGTGGCATAGCAGTTAAGTTTGCACATTCTGCTTTGGCAGCCCAGGGATCACCAGTTCAGATCCCAGGTGTGGACCTACGCACTGCTTGTCAAGCCATGCTGTGGCCGGCGTCCCACAAATAAAGTAGAGGAAGACGAGCACGGATGTTAGCTCAGGGCCAGTCTTCTTCAGCAAAAAGAGGAGTATTGGCGGCAGATGTTATCTCAGGGTTAATCTTCCTCAAAAAAAAAATTTCTACGTTTATCTTTCAGCTCTGAAACAACTGTCCTTGACCAGTATTTAGAATCGTTATTTTTCTTAATCCTCTGCCCTTTGTTAAATCATATTTCTTGACAGAGGAAAAATGATGTTCCATCGCAAGAACTGTCAGGGGAAACCCCTCTGCTTACTTTGAGAGGCCAACAGGAAAGGGTGGAAGATCTGTTCCTGCTTGGAAGACCTGGGCCGTGCTTGTTTAAGTCTCCTTAAAAGTCATCAATCACTGTCATGCTTGGCAATCAGGTAAATTATTCATTGAGAACCTCTTATTGTCACCATGTTCATCAGGAAGAAACTGATGCACAAAGGACTACTGTCAACCTCAGTGAATTACAACTATCCTTTCTTTGTCTTTGAAATCAAATTCTTTAACAGAAGAGACCTTATCCTAAATGCAATAAATGATCTCTTTCCAAAAAACTCAACTGGAGAGCTATAAAACGTGAAAATTCTCTTGGCCTTTCTCCTTCTTTGCTTCCAGTTACCATCCTAAAAGGATCAGCTGAAGGCAATCAACCGGATTGAACATCCTAAGAAGAAAGAGTCACACCACGCCAGGTATATGGATATTTTAGATATATCAGGGACTAACGTATTCTAACGTAAGCTACGCAGCTTTCAAGTTATACAAATATACTAAATAATAGAGGTAGTTATTGTAATACAATTATTCTCCCCTTTTCTCATGAACTGCTAAACTATGTGATAACAGACCCAATTCATATGTTATTGGAAGAAAATATGTTCAGTGGGGAATGTTTTTTAATATTGAAAATAAAGAGAAGGAAGTCTGATAGGACATTAGGAACCAGATAAAATAATCATAATAATTCCTTTCTCCAGTTGGGCCAGATGGTTTTCTTCCTGGTATACTAGCAGTATAATAACAACCACCACCGAGCCTTTATCGTGGACCAGACATTGTCCTCAGAACAATTTGTAGAATATGTTATTCCAGGCAATCCTCAGGGCAATCTTAAAATGTAAGACTGCGACTCACTCAAGGTCACAAAGTAAGTGGTAGAGTTCGGATTTAAACTAAGTATGACTGACTCTAACACCAGTTTGATAAACCACACTGCTATCTTGTGAAGTGTACTTGATCTGACGGCACACCACACTGACGTGTGCACACTAATTTACTTACCCTAATAGGCACTGCGGCTACATAATAATTTAACCCTTATTTCATTTTCTGAAATCACGCTGACATGTACATATTGTATACATGATCAAAAGAAGAAAAATAAAAGGCCATGTCCCCTCCCTTACTCTCCCCTCCTACAAGTTGTAGGCAAAAGCACAATTATCTTTGGTAGCAGTTACTCAAAAAAAAAATTGATTAAATCTGTACTATGTGCTAAAGACAGTAATATAAAAATGAAATAGAACATAACTCCTGTCCTTTAGGGATTGAGAAAAAGGACATCAAATGGCAAAATCTGCAGTAGAATGAAGTCTAGAGAAGAGTCCATTCAACATGGTTCTTGGTCCTAAGTGACAGCTTCATAATACAGAAACAAGGAACACCTCCCTTGCTTAAAAGATCATGGAACATGTACAAAACCATGTTCAGCAAATAGTAGTTTGTATGATGGTTCACCAAACAGGGAAGCTTCTAGAATTAGAATAGGAATAAGAAGAAATTTTTTCCTTCTGTTATTGCTAAACTTCCTAAGATCCTGCCCTTCCTAGGCGATCTTTAGTATCAGTGGAAAATACTCATGCTAAGAGGTAGATACAAGAATAATTCTTGACTCTCTTCCATTGCTTTCTTTCTGAAAGAATGTGTTCTGGCTTGAAGTAATTTTGTCTCACCACTATGAAGTGAAAATACATATATAATTTTCAGAAACCATCGTTCTCTTTTAAGCAGTTCCTTCTAACAAAAATAAGTCATTTACCAAAATGCATCCCTTTCCCACAATATCATAATTAATAGTGAGCCACTTTTCTGCTTTTCCCAGAAGCCATAAGGAAAACATGAAAACTCTGCCACTGCTGGTGTGCATCTGTGCACTGAGTGCTTGCTTCTCAGTAAGTATCCACCCAAATAACTTTTATTCTTATATACCAATAGCCAACATTTAGTGGGTATACCCAATTGTGACTTCAAAAGCACAACATGCAATTCCTATTTCCAAGAAGCTTGATATCTTTTCTTTTCTGTGAAACATAAGACAACAGATAATTAAAGCACAAGTAAATGATTTGTTTCACTTAATCAATATTTACATAGCACCAACTTTATCACAGGTGTGATAAGATCACATGGAGATGCAAAAGATAGGTCATGTGGGACCATATTGGTGTAGAAAAATGGAATTCATTCTCAGAATGTCAGGAAGACTCTGGATGATTGTAGTGCCCCCAGGGGAATGACATGACTGTGGCCTTGGGGGAAAACAGATTGCAGGGGCCAAAAGTTGAGGCAAAGAGACCAGTCAACAAGCTATAGCAGTGGTCCAGATGAAAAATGATGGTGACTTGCACTACATGTCAGCAATTAAAATGAAAGATGAGGGTGGATTTAAGACATATTTTGGCGATTGTCTACCATAACTTCGGCTGGATTGGGTGTGTAGTTAAAGAAATAAATGAGCAAAACAGTTCTGTTTTAGAAGGGTTAAATTTGAAATGGATATTAGATTTCTACAAGGAGATGTCACAAGCCAACTGGATATACATTGTCTGGAGCTCAGAAAGAAGTCAAGGGGTAAAGTCTACTTTTAGAATGTATTTGAAGCCATGGAACCTTACAAGATCACCTAAAGAGAAAATTTTGGAAGTTTGGATATAGATAGAGAAAATGAAGGAACCACAAAAGGGGACAGGAAAGTACGGTTTTCAAAACCAAGAGAAGATTACAAAATGGACCCTACCTTTAAAATTTAACTTATTAAAAAATTATTATAACCACACATATTCAGGCCTTAAATCCTTATCAACTAATATGTGAATGGAGATTATAGCAATCTTACAGTCATAATTTTGTGGGTTTTTTTGAGAAAGACTAGCTCTGAGCTAACATCTGCCAATCCTCCTCTTTTTGCTGAGGAAGACTGGCCCTGAGCTAACGTCCATGCCCATCTTCCTCTACTTTATATGTGGGACGCCTGCCACAGCATGGCTTGCCAAGTGGTGCCACATCAGCACCTGGGATCCCACCCAGCGAATCCTGGGCCGCTGAAGTGGAACATGCGCGCTTAACCGCTGCGCCACTGGGCCGGCCCCAACAGTCATAATTTTTACACCTATACTGTGATTTACAATCTATAAATGCATATGTTCTCATCTACTCTTCAACAGCCTTGTGAAGCATATACTGTTACTGCTATTTTCACACAGCAAAATTGTGCTTTATAGATAGATTGTGGTTCAAAAGTCATCTGGATGTTCAGATGATGGGCTTAAGCCCATATCTTCTGAGCCCAGTTTGAGTGCATTTTCTGCTATAATCACAGAAATGAGCACCAGGGCCCAGGGAAAATCGCAAGATGGTTTTTTGGGGGTGGATACTATGTGGTGAGGGAGGATCTGAGAGTATCCAAGAGTAAACTGCATCCACTTTATCAGTTCTCCTGCTCTCTCTCTCTACTCTTTGCAGTCCTAATATTCAGAAGCCTTATTCAACATACCCAGCCCCATTCAATAAATCTACATTCCACTTCTCTACCCTTCCTTCAAATTTGTCAAAATAAATGTGAACAAACACATATACGTATACAGCCTTAGAGCTGTATCACCTTGAATCGTTATTAATTTTAATCTTCCTTTCCCAAGAAACCATAAATATCTTTGACCTTGCACTCTCCTAGTCTACTTCCTTTCTATTTCTCTTCTTCTTTCACAGCTTATTTTTTCCTCCTCCTCCAACTCCCAAAATCTGGCATTCCTCTAGTTATTTTAGGAATCTTCCTCTTCCTCCTACCCATCCTTTCTTGCTCCAAGGATTATGTGCCTCTCTACACTTCCCCTCCCTGACTCCAGCCCACTCTCCCCTCAAAAGTGTGGTTTGTCTGTGGAGACACATTCCCCTAAAAGTTACTTAATCTCTCTGGGACTCAGTTTCCTCATCTGTGTAATGAGGAGAATAATAGTACCCACCTTAGGGTGTTGCTAAAGAATCAAGTAAAATTATATTTGTAAACCAATCAGAATAGGGAATAACACAAAGTAATGCTGTATAAGAATTTTTTATAAAAGTAAATAGCAGATGTGAACAGGCAAATGAGCATACCTTTAACACACTCTTCCTGGCTTATCTATATTTCTTACAAGCACCTCCATACTTCAGATATCTAAGCTCAAACCCTTAGAGGTATTTTCAACACCCCCCCACACAAGCCCAATTCCCATCAACAAGCTCTGTTAAAGGCATCTCTAACTGCCAATTATAATAATTACTCAACATATTTTAAGTAAACTAGTCAAACTGGTCATTTGATACATGTTCTATGCTAAGCTAATATTAAAATCAATATGATTTTTTTTTCCTTCTTCTCTCCAAAGCTCCCCAGTACATAGTCGTATATTTTAGATGTGGGTCCTTCCAGTTGTGTCATATGGGGTGCCACCTCAGCATGTCTTGATGAGTGGTGGTAGGTCCGCGCCCAGGATCCAAACAGGCAAAACCCTGGGCCAGCGAAGCTCAGTGTGCAAACCCAACCACTCGGCCACAGGGGTGGTCCCAAAATCAATATGATTTTAATTAATTTCCTTCATATCAAAATGTCATAGATATTATTTTGGTCACCTAAATTAAAATAGCTGAAACTTTTTCGCATCCTAATAAGCACTTTTAAATGTTAAGATTTTATTCAAGGAGAAATTAGTGTTTTTATTATCAATTCCATGCATTTGTTCATTCAATAAATATCTAACAAGTACCTGTTATGTGCCCTCCAGGCATAGTTCTAGGAATCGGGCAGAGATTAACAAAATAAAGTCACCGCCCTCATGAAATTGACCATCTGATTAAGAGAATGAAGAGCATAGGTATTTCAAAGCATAGAAATCACAGAATTAGACTTTGGATCTGGAATTTAATTTAATCCAAATCATTTCATAAATGAATAAACTGAGAGCCAATGATCCAAAGTCACTCATTTAACAGTAGGTGTAGGATGGACCCAGACGTCCCCTGATGGTCTGCTGCGGTGTGTTTCAAAAACCTTCCTCTAAGGTGTGGGAGTTCTTCACACCATCCTCAGAGACCACCAGGAAAGGGGGAGACTGAGCCACTGGAATGTGAGGCCCCCAATCCTGCTTCAATCAGAGCAGTTTCATGATTATCCGGATCACACATTGAATCTCCAGGGAAAGATTTGCTTGAATGATGAGACCCGCTTACTTCATATTAGAAAACTACTGCCCTCCACTGGAGAGGATCTCCTGAGAGGGTCCATGGTCAGGGAAGAATCCTGGGTTCAGAATTACAGACTCTGAATTTCTATGCCCTTTTAAGAGAGCTCTATGCAAAAGCATTAACATTATGTGGGTCAGAGGCCATTACCTTAACTTATGGATATTCTCAGTTAAAAACTGAAATGTCCTAGATAATTTAAGTTTTTTAAACAATTAATGCCTTTCGAAGTTATTTTTGAGGCTTGGTATACCAGTCTCTGAGCAAGTTCTCTAGCTAAACAACTCTGCTAGTCACTGAGAAGTTGTCACTTTACCTGTGCTAAACTCTGTCTCTGAAGACAGCTTTATAGTGTGGGACTGGAATGATTTATGTATTTGGTGGTCTAAAAAGTCTTTATGTGGAATTTTCAGCAGGAAAAATGTAACCTATTCTTGTTTGGAACTTTGGAATGTGCCCCCTTATCCTTATGCTAATATTTCTTTTCTCCAATTTAAATTAATATAATTGATAATTTAAAAGTCTAGTATGAGATGGAATACAGAAATAAAAGAAGGATATAGACAAATTGTAGTATGTTTAAAGATAAGAAAATGAAACAGTGATGGTACTCTAACTCCAATAACGTCAGCAATGGCTAAAGGAACTAAGAATGCTAATCTTACAGAACAGCCAGATGGCATGGTAGGTATTTTCAAATTCTGAAGGGCTCCAGGATCTCCTATGTGCTGCCAAAGCACAGAATTAATACCAAGAATGGGAATCTGAAGAAACAAATCTCTATTCAGTTAAGAATGGAAATGCCAAGAAATGAACTCCGTTCAGTATCAAGAACTCTCTACCAGGCCACCTTGGGAGACAGGGTAGCGAGTTCTCGACCAGAAAAGGTGGTCAAGCACAGGCTGGCAAGCCAGTCAGGAGGTGTACTGGTATAAGATCAGGTATCAGATGGACAGCTGGACTAGATCAGTGTTCTTTTCAGATGTGAGCACCTTTGAGAAATCCTGAAACCTATAGGTCCCCTAACCCCACAAAATGCATAAACATGCATAATTTTTCTGCAGAATCATAGGATTGATGAACCCCCTGAGTTTCTGTAATTCTAATATTTATAATGATAATGTTAAAAGGTAATGGCGAAAGTTCTTTCTCCAATTTAAGAAGGCTAAAAACTAAGTTTCCTGCGATATGGAAAATCTGAAGCTGAGGTGGTGTATTTGTTTGTGAAGTTGGTTGTTTGGGTTTTTGTTATTGTTCGTTTTTTGGTTTTGATGACGGTGGATATGAGGGGTGTGATTCAGAAAGGACTCCTGGTCTCAGTTGAAATTCTTTGACTGAAGTTTCACGGACAGAGTGCAGCAAGCTGGGAGCCCTTTTGCTCACGCCTCTAGCAGTAACTTGACCAGGTTCTACCAGAGACACTGCAAGCACAAACGGGCAGATCTAGCTGATTGTCCAGGCTTGAGCCCACAGGAATATATCCATCCCGGCTGGCTGTGAAATAAACACTTGACAAAATGAAACTCTCTAAGAGCAAGCTGTTATTGAAATTTGGTGAAATTAGAAGGATAATCATTCAACCCACTGAAATCCAGTTTCCAATCCCAAAACTTCACAAATATGCTCACCCCACATTCAGCAACAATCCCCTAGTTGATAAATCAAAAGATGTTTTCATTTCTTCTACTTTCTTTCTCTTTTACAGCTCAGTGAAGGTCATACACAGCAACAGAAAGTACTTCACAAAAAGATTAATGTCCATCGATATACATTAGACCACCACTCACCATTTCATCCCCAATTTCGACCTGACAGGAACCTATTAATTCAAAAGCATTTCCTTTTTAATCAACCCAGACCCTGGAAGCCTTCAAATCCAAGAAGAAAATACAAGGGGCCAAAACATGTCAAGCCACCTAAACATCCAGCTAAAAATGACACTGGGGTCAACAATAATACCTCAGAGGCTACCACTCAAGTCCCATCTGTGGAACCCACATCTACTTCCACCAAAATTGTTCCCTCTCCAAGTGTGACAATCCTTGCTCCGGATGCTACCACAACGGCAAGAGAAAATAACGGCAACACAGGCTTGTCTGCAACTACACCATCACCACCATCTTCCCCAGCTCTGCCAGACACCACAGCCGCCCCGCCTATATCTTCCCCAGCTACAGCACCTTCCCCAGCTACACCAGACACCACAGCTGCCCCACCTACACCTTCCCCAGCTACATCAGCACCACCACCTTACCCAGCTACAGCAGACACCACAGCTGTCCCACCTACATCTCCCCCAGCTACATCAGCACCACCATCTTCCCAAGCTACACCACAGACCACAGCTGCCCCACCTACATCTCCCCCAGCTACGCCAGCACCACCATCTTCCCAAGCTACACCAGAGACCACAGCTGCCCCACCTACATCTCCCCCAGCTACGCCAGCACCACCATCTTCCCAAGCTACACCACAGACCACAGCTGCCCCACCTACATCTCCCCCAGCTACGCCAGCACCACCATCTTCCCAAGCTACACCACAGACCACAGCTGCCCCACCTACATCTCCCCCAGCTACATCAGCACCACCATCTTCCCAAGCTACACCAGAGACCACAGCTGCCCCACCTACATCTCCCCCAGCTACGCCAGCACCACCATCTTCCCAAGCTACACCAGAGACCACAGCTGCCTCACCTACATCTCCCCCAGCTACATCAGCACCACCATCTTCCCAAGCTACACCAGAGACCACAGCTGCCCCACCTACATCTCCCCCAGCTACGCCAGCACCACCATCTTCCCCACCTTCACCAGAGACCACAGCTGCCCCAGATACCACACCCAATCCTTCCCCAACCACTCCTGACACTTCCCAAACTCCAGCTGAACCCACAACCCAAACTCCTACTCCAGCCATTACTCAAACTACTAGTGTTGAACAAACAACTTCATCTTCTCCCCAAGATATATTTCCTCAATTCTGGTTAGCTCTTAATAAGCTATGGGAGCAATTTTGGCGTATTACAGCAGCAATAGTGCATCATACCCTGTGAAGTGTTCTGTCATTAGATATGGTTTATGAATACATAACTACCACCTTTACTTTTACCACCAATCTCAAAGTGAAATAAAAATATTCCTCAGATTTAAAGTGCTATCACTAATCTTGTCACCTAGTCTAACTAGTCACCTCACATGATCTATTAGCAAGGAAAAACACCTCTATCCACAAATCAGTTGCATGACCATAATTTAAGATCACTTTATGGAACCTACAGAGATAGCCCACTGACAGGAGAAAAAGTCATTTAATAAAGAGAGAAAATTATATGGATCAGCAACCATTTACCTTTCCCTAAATGTTAGAAACTATAAGGCCACTACATTGTACCCCTAAATCAAAAACCTACCTGAATTACCCAACCCCACAAATATAAAGGGATAAAATTAGGTCTCTCCAAATGAACAAAAACATCTAAACATCTATAGATAGATCTATCATTGTATTACTGATTAGTGACAAAAACCCTTTAAACAATCATCTTAAAACTTTAAATGAAATTTCATTCCACAAAATGTGAGCTGAGAAAGGGGAAAGTGGATGTGAAGTGAAGACTTGAAGTGAATGAAAATGAAATCTGGCAGCCAAGACTCTGGCACCACATTTTTCAGAGCATGTAATTGGTTAGACTTCACGGTTGACATTTATTATATTATATCTAAGTTAATTTAGACCTGACGTGCTTGATTCTAGCCTCTGTGAACCACAAGAAGACTTTTTTTGTATGTTGCTCATAATATTTTACTATTAATTCAACTTTCTACTAATTTGATTAATTTACATTAAATCAATGTGAACTGCATTCAACAGTGAAATATCTTCTAAAACTTTTAGCCATATATTTGAGTGTATTTTAAAGCAAATCATACCAAACTACTGCCCTGATGTTGAGTTTGCAAAATGGCCTCTGAAAATAAATGCTGATTCTAGCCAGTAGAAGAATAAAAACTATCTATTTGGTATAAAGAGAGGATGTTAATTTGGGATGCGGAGGTACTTTTATTTTTACTACTACTAAGAACTCTGATGATTGTATTTAGATTTTTTGTCAACTAATAAAGACTTCACATGGCAATCCATTTTCATTGTGTGTATCTGGAAGCTCCTTGTCTCTCTCAGATTCTGAGTCAGGTGACTTGTCAACTCTGCCACTAGTTAGCCAGTGACTTTGGCAAGGCAATCAATATCTCAGAATATGTTTTTTTATCCTTCAAACAAAGTGGTTAATTTACTTAGATTAACTTAATCTTTACTTAAACTTATTACCAATCCAAATTCTGTGTTTGCCCTGTGCTGCTGAGATTGACAAAGACCGTCATCCCTCTCACTTACCTCTGTTCTTTCCAGTCTCATCATAGAGTACCTCTGTGCCTTCTTGAAAGAAGAATAGCAACTAGTCCTTTCCCTGGGAATATTCCCCAGTTTTAGAATGGCCAAGATATGCCATCTTGAGGCCGAAGACTTCACCATCAACAGCATACATTCATTTATATGAATTGGAATCCTAGGTTAACATCTAGAATGAAATGAAATGGAACAGAACAGAATAGAACAAAGAATTAATCACATTATCCTCAGCAAGAACTGTGTACATTACAATAAACACTATACCCAATTGCCTTCAGCATTGTGAGAGACAGAGAAGGGGAAGTGATCAATACATGCAGAAATGGGTTATTTGATCTATGGCTTATCAGTATTGATTTTCTGGTATATGATTATCTGTTTTGTCATTGTAAACAGACGGTTAACATTACACAATTTCTTTTTATTAACAGAACTTATGATTACTTAGAAAGCAAAATGAGGGAGAATTCTATCCCTTGTCGACAAAACTGTCTTTCACTTTTGTGAAATCCTACTATATTTTTTGTAAAGGAGAACATACAGATGAACATTTCTAAAGTTTGTGACAATTGTAATATTTTATTTGAATCTTTATAAATTGCCCTTAAAATAGCTTGTTTTATTGCTAAAAGAAAAGAATGAAGAAGTGAAAAATATAGAAGCACAGTTCAAGCTCAATTGCTAGATCTAGAAGCATAAGTGGCAATAACTTGGATAAAAATTTTGACTCTACTCAACAAACTTCAATTAAATTTGAGCCTCACCAAGGGAAGAAAGTAAGGTGTGCAAAACCAACGAAAATGACAGACTCTAATGCATTCTTCATAATGATATTCCTAAAAATTAAAGCTTAAAGCCTTCAAGTTTAAAAAGACACTGGAACCTGGCAGGATTTACTTCTTATAAAACCACTGAATATCTCCAAAGAAAGAAAATTCTAAGTGTAGGCAAAATTCCTTAGCTTTCCATGACTATTAATGAAAAATGCTTTTATATTTTATTTAGTTGAACATTATGGAAGCAAAAAGTGGATCATTAACACACTCAGAAAATTTTCCTTTTAGTGTATATGGATATATCATTTATGATTATTAATGATAAATCAGCTAATAAATTAAAAACTACCACTCAATGATAACACATGTATTCATTTTCTCATTGCTGTTGTAACAAATTACCACAAACTGAGTGGCTTAAAGCAATAAAAATGTATTGTTTTATAGTTCCAAAGGTCAGAAGTCCTAAAATCAAAGTTGCAAGACTACATTCCTTCTGGAGGGTTAGGGGACAAACTGTTCCCTCGCCAGCTTCTCAAGGACACCTCCCTTCCTTGGCTTGTGGCCCCTTCCTTCATCTTCCAAGCCAGCAGCACAGCGTCTTCCAACCTCTCTCTCTGCTTTTGTCTTCACATCACCCGTTCTGACCCTGACTCTCCTGCCTCCCTCCTTTCCTTATAAGAACATTTGTGATTACACTGGGCTGACCAGGATGATCCAGGATAATCTCCTCATCTCAGGGTTCTTAACATCATGATATCTTCAAAGTCGCTTTTGTCACATAAAGTAACATACCGACAGGTCTGGAGATTTGGACATGCACATCTTTAAGGGGGCAATTATTCTGTCCACCACAATGCATTACTTCATCAGACACGTACTAAGACGAATATCTAGAAGCATTGTTTATCATACTGGTACAGTCTGGTATGTATTTTTGCCATTCAAGTTAATGACAGCCTTGTTAGAAGAAATTTTATGACTCTTTTGATGTATACCAGATATGTAATGTAGGGCAAGATAATTTTATACAGGATTAGTACTATTGTTTAAATTTAACTTCACACACAAGCAAATTAAATATATTTACAGAATTAGCAAAATTGGTCAATGTAAATTAAATCGGCAGATGTATTTATATTATTAGAAATATATTTACTTATAATTAAAAATTCCCATACCAATGCTCTTTTTAAAATTTTTTCAGCTTTATTGAGATGTAATTGACAGATAAAATTGTAAGATATTTAAAATGTACAATGTGATGATTTGATAAACATATACATTGTAAAAGGAGTCCCTTCATCAAGTTAATTAACACAACCATCACCCCAAATACTTCCTTTTTCTTTTTTTTGGTGAGAACACAAGTTCTACTCTCTTAGAAAATTTTACGCACTCCAGTGTTGTCAACTATAGTCACCATATTTTACATTAAATCCTCACACCTTATTGTTCTTACAACTGAAAAGCTCATACCCTTCTACCAACACCTCCCTATTTCTCCCACTAGCCCCTGGCAACCACTTTTCTACTCTCTGTTTCTAAAAGTTTGACTATTTTTTTGGTTAAGATTCCAGATATAAGTGATATCATGTAGCATTTGTCTTTCTCTGCCTGGTTCATTTCACTTAGCATAATGTCCTCCAGGTTCATCCATGTTGTTGCAAATGACAGGATTTCCCTTCTTTTTAAGGCTAATATTTCATTTTTTATGTATATACATATATATATAGTTATATTTTCTTGATCCATTCATGCACTGACAGACACTTAGGTTGTTTCCATACCTTGGCTATCATGAATAATGCTGCAATGAACATGGAAGTAAAATTATCTCTTCATAATAATGGTTTCATTTCCTTTGGATATATACTCAGATGTGGGATTGCTGGATCATATGGTGGTTCTATTTTTCATTTCTTTCCAGGGATGCAAGGATGGCTCAACATCTGTAAATCAATCAATATGATACACTACATAAACAAAATGAAAGAAAAAATCATATGATCATCTCAATAGATACAGAAAAAGCATTCAACAAAATTCAACACTCATTCATGATAAAAACTTTAAACAAACTGGTATAGAGGGAATGTACCTCAAGATAATAAAGGTCACATATGATAAGCCCACAGCTAACATCATACTCAACAGCGACACGATGGAAGCTATTCCTTTAAGATCAGGAACAAGATAATGATGCCTGCTCTCACCACTGTTATTCAACATAATACTGGAATCACGGCCTGAGAAGTTAAGCAAGATGAAGACATAAAAGGGATCCAAATTAGGAAGGAAGAAGTAAAATGTTCTCTATTTGCAGATCACATGATATTATATATAGAAAACCCTAAAAACCACCAAAACCTGTTAGATCTAATAAACAAATTCAGTAAAGTCGCAGAATACAAAATCAACATACCAAAATCAGTTGCATTTCTATACACTAACAACGAACTATAAGAAAGGGAAATTAAGAAAATAATTCCATTTATAATTGTATCAGAAAGAATAATAAAATAACTAAGAATAAATTTAACCTAGGAGGTGAAAGATGTGTAAACTGAAATCTATAAGACATTGAGGAAAGATATTAAAGAAGACACAAATAAATGGAAAGAATTTCATGCTCATGGACTGGAAGAATTAGTATTATTAAAATGTCCATCCTACTCAAAGCAAACTACACATTCAACGCAATCCCTATCAAAATTCCAATGGCACTTTTCAGAGAAATATAAAAAGGAATCCTAAAATTTGTTTGGACCCACAAAAGACCCTGAATAGCCAAGCACTCTTGAGAAAGAACAACAAAGTGGGAGGCATCATGCTTCCTGATTTCAAACTACATTACAAAGCTGTAGTA